AGAGCATTTCACGCTCATGGTGGGACCGCCAGCGCGGGAATCACTGGCACAACGCTTGACTTCATCCATTGGACGGCCTCCAGCTCTCGCCTGTGCAAGTTCGACTAGAGTCCGGCCACCCATGTTGCGTTGCATAACAGCCTTGAACATTTCTTCGCCGCCACCCCCATTCTTGGCGGGGGGAGGTTGCTGCTTCGAGGCACTCTTGCGAGTTGGTGAGGTGCCCGCATCGGCAGCGAGGTTGGCGGATGATGGGATTTTAGTTAAACGGCGGTGGGGAGATCTGGCTCTGCTCTCACTTGCACTGCGCTCTTCGGATTGGGAAGCAGATGCACTCGTCGATTGAGGAAGCCGAGTACCACCAGAAGGGAACAGAGAGGGCTGGGTGGTAAGTTTCTGCATGAGAGCCGCAGTGTTCTGGCGAAGTAGAGGTCGTCGAGGCGCCTTCAATGGGTCCGGCTTCACCTTGGGCCGAGTTGGGGAAGGCAAGTCCGGTGTGTCGTCCTCGTCATCGGAGTAGGCTAGGGTGGGCTCCCACTTTGCCTTGTTCCGCTCGGCCTCTGCGAAGATGTTGCGAGCGCCTCCTTGGGCGGAAGTGCGGCGAGGGGACAAGGAAAGCGAAGCGATTGAAATGGGTGACGGCTCAGCCATTTGAACATCCACTGGTGAATCAACAACGGTCTTGGAACGACAAAATGGCGTCCGGGTCTCTTTCTTGGGCTGCTTTCGGGTATTTGATGGAGGAGAGCCCAGAGAAAGCTGACTGATGTCGGTGCTGGATGAAGGAGTAGTATCGCTGTCGTCTGTCATGTTGGCAGAAGACCGAGAAGACCGCCAACCTTGATTGCCGGATCGAGAGGACCCAGAGCCATGGCTACTGGTGCGAAATACATCATCTCGGGAAATGTTGCTATTAGAAGTGTTGTGCTTGTACTTCTTCACCTCAATGGCAACTCTTTCTTGCACTTCAGACTCAAATCGCTTGCGGAGCCGGTCAAGTTCGCCTTGCACCTGGCGGTCAATTTCCAAGCGTGCTTTGACCTCCCACTCTCGTCGGACAGTATTTTCAATTTCGGCCTTGATATGTTGCTTTTCTGATTCTCTCTTGGCGAGATTCTGTTCCATCTCGCGGACTTTATGGACAGCAATCTCCTCACGTCGGCGCAGGGTCTTTCCGAGGTCAACAACCTCTTTCTCCTTGCGCATCAAGCGAATGATAGGAAGATGAATTAAAGCAGAAGTATCAGGGCGGTGATCGGGATTGACCCGTAGACAGCTTCCAATAACGTTCTTGAGCTCTGGCGAATAGTAATCAGGCAAGGGAGCGAATTTTCCCTCGCGAATTTTTTGAACTAATTGAATGTGGGTGCGAGCGTTGAAAGGGGGCTCTTTCTGGCAGAGCTCGTACATGATGCAGCCAACCGCCCAAATATCGGAGCGCAGGGTGTATTTTTCAGCTGCACAAATTTCCGGTGACATGTAGAAAGGTGTGCCAACATAGGTTGATGCAAAATCGTGCGATTGCATTTGCTTGGACAGCCCAAAATCGCCCAGCTTTACGGTGTTGTCACTACCGAGGAAGATGTTCTCCGGCTTCAGGTCGCGATGCAAGATAGTGACTTGTCCCTGCTTTCCCTTGAGACCAGATGGTTTGGGAGCTGGGCCCAGGATGTTTGATCCGACCTCGGCGGGATCGGAGCCGTAGTGACACCGGAACAAAGCAGTGACAAGCTGGGAGAGAATGCGCCAAACAAACTCCTCTTCGGCGTACTTGTTTGCCTTCTTCAAGTTCTTGATGACCATGCCTAGATCTCCGCCACCACAGTACTCCATGTAGAGATACAGGTCCTGGCTGGCCTTCAGATGTTCCCGGTGGTAGTATGCGACGATGTTTGGGTGACGAAGCGAACTCAAAATGTTGAATTCGGCAGTAAGTTGTTCGCGTTCTTTCTGCGACATTTTGATGTAATTGATTTCCTTGCGGCATAATATCTATATGAGCAAGTGGAAGTTAGTTCCGGTTTCAAGATGCCAACAATGCACTACACTTACGAATCCATCTGACTTCCGCTTGACTTTGCGAATGATCCCGAAGGAACCGCAACCTGAATGAGCACATAAGATTAGTTTTGAACATATAGAATATAAATTGGGTTAGAAAAGCGCAGTACTTACCAATTTTGTCCAGTATCTCATACTTATCGGCCTCAGCCAAAGCAATCGCCATGGCTATAGATTGCTGTAGAGTTTAGGACAATAAGGTGAAAACGAAACAGAAGAATGAGAGTCAATGATGCATGAACGGTATGCGACAAGATCCTGTGTTAGTAAAAAAAAAGAGTCGAACTGCAGATTTGAAGATTTGAAGAAGAGTCAAGGCAATATGAATTGGAGCTTTGAAGATGGGTGTTTGGGGGATCGTTGCTATGCAACGGTTGATTATGACGCTTTCCCCAACGCAGCAGGCGGTGGGGGTGGGTCGATCAAACGGTCGGAAGGAGGCAAAACCTCGAATGACGTTTGTTCAATTACGATTCTTTGAGGTGTTATTGTGTATATTTGAATATATGTATTTTATCTATATGTATATCTATTTCCATACTTCAAGCATCCTATACTCACTCCCCTAAACATATACAGTATACAACACCCCCTTAATGTCAGACATCACATTTGAATACTCACGTGATCCTTATCGATAAGCCGGTTTCCGCCCCGCCGTTTGCCGTTTGCCCTCATCCCACTTCGACCTGTTATTTCTGGGAACCTGCATGATGTATGAGGCAACTGTGCTACGGAAGGACCAGCTGGAGATCAGCCTAGTCAATGAGAAGAAGTTGATTAAGGAGGGCACTATTAAGGATGATAACCCCTTAGATCTCAGTGAGGCGTTCCGCGAACTATGCAGCGCATGTCGTCAGGGCGATCTGAAAGTCTGTCAGGAGAAAATCACCGAGGGCGTCAATGTTAATGCTCGTGATCCCTATGATTACACGCCATTGATCCTGGTGAGTACAATATATTGATAAACCAACTGTGCCAATCATGCGTCCCACATAATAACCAAGGAACTGGTAGGCGAGCCTCTGTGGTCATTATGAAGCTGTGCAGCTTCTGCTCGAGTCTGGTGCACTTTGTGAGCGGGACACATTTCAGGGTGAAAGGTAAATAGCAATTGCTTCTCTATAGAGGGACTAGAATTAACGATAGTGGTTCTATAGATGTCTCTATAATGCCTTAAACGACCGGATACGAAACCTCCTCCTGGAATATGATTATTCCAAGTCCACGGACCCCCTCCAGCCGCTAGCCGCGCATATAACTTCGCTTCTCACCCGCGAGTCTCCATTAACGACAGATATTGTCGTAACTGCATCCGACAAAACGCTTCATCTCCACAAATTCATCCTCGCGGCACGCTCCCCATATTTCTATGGTAAACTAGCCGTGTCACCAGACTCTGCAACATGGAATCTCCCCAGTACCATTCCCCCGGAGGCATTCGGTGCCGCTATCAAATACCTGTACTTTGGGGAAGCCCCTCGGGACTTGAGAAGTGGACCAGGAACGGGCTTCACGGAGTCCGAGACTTTTGCGGGGGTGGAAGGAATCTCCAAGTACTTGGAGATCCCCAATCTTCTAGACAGTATCCTTGATAGCGGAGATAGGAGACGTGCCAGGCAAAGAAGAACCGACGATATTTCCAAGGGCCGAGATCAAATGGAGCAATGGTTCCAGGAGAATATTCTGGGGAACAAGCTCGAGGTAGAGACTTCGAAAGTGAACGAAGTAAAGTGGGGTCGAAGCAATGCAATCTTTGCTGATGTTCTTCTGAGGGCAGATGAACTCCCCGAGGAAGAAGAGGAAGCAGACGTTGACACACCGGAGGTCAACAATAGCACATCCAGTTCGATTCCTACCGCGGACAAGAAGACTCTCGAGGCACCGAAATCTATCATCTTCCCATGCCATCGAGCAATGCTTTTGCGGTCAGAGTTTTTCCAGGCAATGTTCACATCCTCGTTTCGCGAAGCTTACCTCAATGAGACTCTGAATATCATTGACGTCAACTGTTCGCCCGAGGTCTTGGAAATTATTCTTACATTCTTATACACCGAAAGAGCCGATTTCCCCTTAGAAATCGCGGTCGACGTCTTATTCGCCGCAGATATGCTCTTCATCGAGAAGCTAAAGACAAAAGCTGCCGTGGTCATCAGCACCCTTGGCAGTGCTGGAATGTCTCAGGCTGAGGCTGCGAAAACCCGAGGTACCGCGCACGAAGATGACATTGACATTTACTCAATCGTTCGGGCTGCGTGGTTGACGCGCGTGCAACGATTGGAAGAATTCGCTGCTCGATATCTCGCATATCGACTGGAAGCACATATAGATAGCCCAGAATTTGCAGAGTTGATCCAGGAATCAGCATCTCGTATCAAGGCGAGACAGGAGACCGATTCCATTGAAATGCTGGACGATATCCGGTTCTATCTTGGAGAGCGCTTTAGATTGAGATTTGATGAGGCTGGTCTGGATGAGATGATGGAAGAAAAAGAGCTACCGGAATGTCTAGATGAAGACGAGCAGCCCGAAGACGTTATAAATCTCACAGAACGTGTGAAGACCCTGGATGTTTCTAAGGAGGCTATCCCCAGTCAAGGGCAGGAGCCGCAAGTCCATGCCCCCGTGATTCGAACTCTGGATGGCGCGGTTGTCGAGGATGAATTCTCAGAAGATGCAATTAACTATGAGATCTTGCTCGAGAAGCTGGATAATTTGCTGGAGCGACTCAACCTTGAGGCTTAGGCAATTGAGGTTTCGCCACTGACTTCGAAATCAGTTGACCAACAGCCTCCCCTGGCGGAATCTCTCTGCTGACAAACTCATTGCAGACTCCAGGGCTCCGGGTAGGAGGGAAATATATATATATTGTCTATAAATAAAAGAAGTAGTAGATGATTTAAATAGCACTCGAAGTTATGTACATGAAAACACCGATAATGCCCAGTGACAAGCTGTCAAATTCATTAATAGAAGCAAGCCCAATGTTTCTAGACCTTGCAGGCCATGGTTGGATTGCCTGTATGCGGGACTCGAAGATCACCATCAAGTGGACTTGGTATGGTAGGAAGTTTGTTGCGTGGATAGTGGGTGTCAAAACCATGCTGGACCTAATTGATGGCCGCCACCTTGTATTTGAGTCGAAAATGGTGCGTGGTCCTCTGGAGGACCAAAGCGTGTCGGTTGCATCGTGGGTTGGTTCACATTAAACGGTAATTGTGAGTTCGTTGCCTCTATTTGGCAAAGAATTCGTAGTGCTCATCGACCTCCACCTGGTTGATCTTGATCTTCACCACCGATGCCTTTCTGCTGTTTCTCGAGCATCCTTGCATCCAAGTCTCGTATCTGGTTCTCGATTATGCCTCTCCGAGCGACCAAGTTGGAGCGCATACCCTGGAGGGCTTTGTTTTGCTCATCGAACGTCGATTCTTGCCGTTGCTTTGCTGTCTATATCGCATAAATTGTTAAATCTGAAATGCGATTCAATGACAGGACTGCAAATAAACGGATAACTTCGGTCTAGATAGATTCGCTCGTACCTCGGCAATTTCTTGATTTGTTTTAAGACCAGCTCCATAAAGAGTGCCCGTGATAGTGATAGAAACGACCGCGGTAGTTAAAATTAACCGCTTGATATTCGGAGGAGGCATGCTGAGTGCTATACAAAGCTGAAGCTGTTTGGTCGCAAGTAATTGGCCATCTCCAGGTTCTCACCGCCTACCCAAACTAGACTTTCATTGATCGCGGACGCGTTCCCTCGCGTCTGACTTCAACAAAGAACGACCGGACAAAGCGAATTTCACAGATAGCCCATGAGGCTCCCTCCGCATCTACTCGAGGGTTCCAACCAACATGGCGTCACCCAGTATTCCTCGTCGTCGACCTCACAGCGAGGATGAAGAAGGCGAAGACCCTACGTTTACACCCCCCAGCCCAACCCTCAGACCACAAACGCCCCCGCTTGAACCCCGCAGATAGCGATGACGGATCGGAACCTGAAGAGGAGAGCGAAGGTGGAGGCGAGGCAGAGAGCGACGAGGATAGCGCTGGATCTGAAACACCAGGAACAGTTTCTCAGGCCTCGCGTGCGATAGCCCACGATGGCCTTGGCCCCGGAGGCTATAAACCGGGTGCGATCGTGCGGATCAAGGTGACAAACTTTGTGACCTACACATCCGCAGTGTTCTATCCTGGGCCAAAACTCAACATGGTCATTGGTCCAAATGGAACGGGCAAAAGCACCCTGGTCTGTGCCATCTGCTTAGGCCTGGGATGGGGACCTCAGGTACGACTCGAACTTTAATCGTGCAAATCCACCCCATACTAACATTAATCCGATCTCTAGCATCTTGGACGTGCCAAAGATCTGGGCGAGTTTGTGAAGCATGGGGCCCGAGAGGCTGTAATTGAGATTGAACTATGCGGACCTCCCAAGAATAGAGAAAATTCCATCATCCAGCGAATCATCAAGCGCGATGGCAATAAGAGCTCATTCACACTTGACGGAGTGTCTGCTTCTAAAAACGAGGTGTTGAAACTGGCTCAGTCGTTCGCCATCCAGGTAGACAATCTCTGCCAATTCCTCCCTCAGGATAAAGTTGCCGAGTTTGCTGCACTTACACCGGTCGAGCTCCTTCATTCCACCCAAAGAGCAGCAGCTGGCCCGGAAATGACCCAGTGGCATGATGCCCTAAAAAGACTAAGAACCGAGCAGAAGAAACTTGAGACAGCCAACCGTGACGACAAGGAAACACTAGAAAATATGGAAAATCGCCAAGAGATGCAAAGAGCTGATGTCGAAAGAATGCGCCAGAGAGCCGTGATCAAGCAGAAAATTGAAATCCTTGAGCGTTGCCGTCCAATTGTGGAGTACAAGGAACACCACAATGCCGTCGAGGCCTTGAAGGCTAGAAAAACCGAAGTCGAGCGAGAATATCGTCGGGTCCAAGCAGAAAATGAGCCTATTTTACGCGCAGTCAACGCCAAAGAGGCCTATATCGCGCGATTAAACGGCGTGAAAGATGACCGAAAGGATTCTGTCGACAAGGCATCCAGGGTCGCCACTGCACGCGGCCAAAAAATCGACGAATTTGAGAACAGGATCAAGGACCTCAACGATCAGATTGAAGCAGAAAAAAAGAGCGGTCAAAGACACCAGTCCGAAGCAGCATTGGCTCAGCAAGCTGTCAACAGACTTCGACGCCAACAAGAAGAGGAGGCTGTGGAGTTCGATCCAGAATTTTACAACGAGACTTTGGTAAGAAACCCTATATTCTCCATTATTTGGACGAGTATGCTTATCCCAACAATAGAGAGAGAAACGGCTCGAAAAACGCGAGCTTGAGACCAAGGCCAGAGAAATCCAAGACAAGAGACAGCCCCTTCAAGATCAACAACAGCAAGTGCAAAAGAGTATCAAGCAGGCCGAGCTCCAGCTGAGCAGCTTGGACTCAGCCTCTGGCCAACAAGAACTCAAGTTGCAGAAAGCATCTGTCGATACGCTCAAAGCCTATAAGTGGCTTCTTGAGAACCAAAACAAGTTTGAGAAAGAGGTCTTTGGTCCTCCAATCGTTACATGCTCAATCACCGACCCCAAATTTGCCGATGCTGTCGAGTCTTTATTCCAGAAAACAGACTTCACATCGTTCACTGTGCAGACCAGGAATGATTTCCGCACCTTGCAACATGCGATTAACCAAACCTTGGCGCTCCATGATATTAGCATCCGCACCTGCTCTCTGTCATTGGATACTATGACGGCTCCAATGCCTAATGATCAACTTGTCCGATTGGGATTCGATGGTTGGGCAAGGGACTTTTTGGTCGGGCCCGATCCTGTCATTGCCATGTTGTGCAGTGAAAAGGGCCTACACTTGACTCCTATCGGACTGCGTGAAATCTCAAATGAAGTATTTACCCGTTTGGAGGAGGGGTCGATGAGCAACTGGGTATCTGGGAAAAGAAGCTATCAGGTGACTCGGCGTAGAGAGTATGGACCTGGCGCCACATCAACCCGGGTTCGAGAGATCAAGCCTGCTCAGGTGTGGACTGCACAGCCAGTTGATCTTTCCCTTAAGCGCGAACATCAAGAGAACATCACGTTATGGAATGAACAGCTGCAAGACATCAAGGACAAGCTTGAGTCCGAGAAGGCTGTCGTGTTAAAGATACGCGAAGAACACGACCAGGTCGAGCGAGAAATGGTAATTTCTGTATTTCTCTTGCTTCTCGTCACACCTTATACTAATTTGTGCTACAGAAAGACATCGAGAAAGAAAAGAGCACAAAACAGACAGCTCACACTCAATACCGAGCAATCCCAGAGAAGATCTGTATGTTCCTTTTCTTGTTCTTCTGCGATCTGGCACTTGGCTAACAGCTTGCAGCTCAACAAGAGGCCAAATTGCAAAACGTTACATCGATGTTTGAAGGGGTCCGAGAGAGAGTTCGTGAGATTCGGAACCGGCAAGACGAATTTGCAATTCAAAAGGCTGAGGCCGCTGTCGAATATGCTGTAAGTTCATCACTGACAGGTCTGTCTACTTTCATCTGACGTGATTTAGGATGCTGTCGAATTGTTCCGCCAAGCTTATGAGGAGCTCATCAAAGTCGAGGTCCTATTTTTGGAGGCGACTTCCGATCTTCAGACCCTGCGGCATCGCAACATTGATAGTACGAAATTACTAGAAGCCAAGAGGCGAGAGGCACAAGAAGCTACCGTTAAATTGAGGGAATCCAAAGTGAAGGCCAGAGCAGTTTTGCAAAAAGCTCAGCAAATCAGCCGAGAACTACACGACCAACCCGAGGCGCAAGCTGTACTTGAAGGGCTCGACGATCATGACATGGATAAACTCGAAGCCGACATTGACTCTGAAAAGGCCCGACTGGAACTCACGCATGGTGGTAGTAGCCACATGATCAAGGAGTTCGAAGACCGTGAAAAGTCCATTGAGAAGTTGCGCTCGAAACTCGCCGACTTCCTAGATAAGCTTACGGAACTTGGCAATGCGATCGCAGATATCCGCAAGGACTGGGAGCCCAAGTTGGAGGCGCTCATCGAGAAGATCAGCGATGCTTTCTCGGATTCTTTCCGCCGCATCGGATGTGCTGGCCAGGTCACCTTGGGCAAAGCAGAAGGCGAAGCTGGGCCCAATGGCGAGCCTGGTCCTAGCGAATTTGCGGATTGGTCGATCGTGATTCACGTCCAGTTCCGTGAGGGCGCGGGGTTGTCGGTCTTGGATTCACATCGCCAGTCTGGTGGTGAGCGAGCCGTGAGTACCATCTTCTATCTCATGGCACTCCAGTCGCTCTCGGCCTCGCCCTTCCGCGTGGTCGATGAGATCAATCAAGGTATGGACCCGCGAAACGAGCGCATGGTTCATGGACGGCTGGTAGATATTGCCTGTGCCTCGAGCGAGACCGAGGAAACCGACGAGAATGGCAACGCCATCGGCGGCGGTGGGGGTGGCCAGTATTTCCTTATTACACCGAAGTTGCTTGAACAACTGTCTTACAAGCCGGGTATGCGTGTGCTTTGCATCTACAGTGGGGAGCATATGCCCGAAGATTATGACAAGACGGAATTCAAGAAGGCCATTCGAAACATGAGGGCAGTAGCCGCCGGTGCGATTGCCAGTGGGCCATCTGAAATCATGCAGAGCAATGGTCAAGTGGATGTCTATGCCTAATGAAGTTCTCAGGGGGTTTTACAACATAGTTGAATCTCCAGTTTCTGATACCCAATACCATTTTACCGTTTAACCTGATTTAGCCTATCTTCCGGATACATATGTACATACGTATGTAGATTTATGATTTCAGTACAACATACAGAGAAAAAGGAGTACAATGTAACCACTTTTATTTTATTTATTTCTAATATATGAACTACATACAACATACATATATTGTAGGTAGGCAGATAAAAGATCATAAGATATAAATCACACAGGCGTGGGTCAAGCACTCAGCACAGACACGGAGTGGCCGATCATGCATATGGGGCCAAAAGGGAGCCGCAGTGGACTCTTTGGGAATATTTCCCCAAAGGTCAAAGAGGTCAAGGTCAAGGTCAAAGACAAAAACCGTTTACGCCTTTTCTGGCTTTTTGACTTTTTCTTCCTTTGCTCCGGGGGGTTTTACCTCGAAAGTTCGATGAAAAGGATTCTCATCCATGTTCGGATCGGACGATTTGACCAAAACAGAAATA